CAAGCACAACACCATCCAGTCTTAAAAAGAAATATAGTTCTCACGAGTGTTGCAACATGCATAAGCCTTGAAAACAATGTGTTAAGGGAAAGAAGCTATTCACAAAGACAACGTGATGAATTTATACCTATTTAAATATAGGTTATATCTCAATTTTTTAAAAAGGAAAGGAAAAATGAGGAAGGTAAGCCCTGGCAAAGGCATAGAACCAGAAGTTATAGAGAATAAAATAGTTTGGGGGGGACACACACTTTTCTCCCCAACTAGCTTCCTTTTTGTCTCAGCTTCGAAGATGATGATTAGTAACATGTTGGATGAGTCCTTATCTCTCCTGCCACTCCAGTTTTATGACTTCTGATAACCACCTATGTTTTATGATTTTCACAAACATAAAGGGTTAGAGAGGGCAATAAAACAATTTCTAGCAGCAGTCTCCTCGATGTTTAAACTCTGGCAAGAAGACAAAGCCAGAAAATAGAAAATTACCATTAAGCAGAGTAAGTTTTCCTTGACACAGCATGAATTTTAGCCTGATTGGTTTCTCCCTGGCTCACAAATATCCGGCATTCTTCCCTTCTCTTATCAGCAAAGATAAGGATGCCTGGAAATAAGCTATTAAATGCAACACTTCTGCTTCACAGTTTCTCCAAGTTAAAGTTGATCCCCTTAAGGACAAGTCGTATCTGTGAGTTGCATTTTGTTGTGTGGTGTGTTCCCCCACCCCCACCCCCGCCTTGACTAAAAGAGGGATTTATGATCCTGTTTCTGCAATGAACAAAAATATAGCATGAATTTAGACAATTAAAAAATGAATGATTTTTCACCATAACCTTGAACCTTTAGGGAAAAAATATGCTACCTTAGCATTTAACATGTGGTCCCAGAGAGCAATATTTTCATGGTGGTAAAATAAAATATGCGAGCTTCCTAGCAGCCTGACAGTTGTTAATTCTGCCTCTTGGTTATACAAGGTCTTCAACGACAGGAGTTCTTCAGTGGCTGGGAGTTAGGGACCGTGGCACTGAGGGGAAAGGAGGTCGTCAGGATTCGTCATTCACTTGTAAAGGACTTACATTCCAAGTCATTAAAGCCACTCAAATCTCAGGCCAAAATTAGTTAACAGATGCAGAAAACATTTTCTTAATCTATATACACGAGTCTTGGAGAGGGTGAGAGCAAGTTTCTCCTTGGAGGCGAGGATTTTGAAGCTCCATCTCTCATACTCTGGGCACATGGCCAGGAGGGACTGATCCTTGGAGAAAAACATCATGCTAAAAAAACCCAAAAAATAACAACAAAAAAAAAACCCCAAAGAGAGGAAGACCACGGATGTAATGGGTTGGTACAGTAACTAGGGCAATGTGGGAAGTGTATCGGAACTGGCGAGACTGGCTCAGGACAGGGGTGTCTTCAGAGCTGCTGTACATAGAGTCACAGGCAACTTGACTTGACATCACAAAACAACAACTATAACTTTTGTTTGAGTAAAAAGAAAAAGAGGACAAGATGGGCACAGAGATGGAGATGAGGGACATTACAGAGAAATCGTTTGTAATGTCAATCCTGAAAGAGAGTTCTGGAAAAGCAGAGTTAACACCTATTTACTGTGGATGATGAAAGGATCAACGGGTGTATAGATGAGGAAATGAATAGAAGGATAGATGTATGGAGGACGTGTGGATGGATGGGTGATGAAGTGTCTAGATGAATAAATAAGCATGTATATGATGGTTGGATGGGTTTATGGATGTCTGGATGAAAAGATGCTTAACTGGATGGATGGATGGATGGATGGATGGATGGATGGATGGATGGATGGATGAAGAGTCTGTTAGACCAACTCAAGATTAATAACATGGATCTGTTTCTCATCACCAGTTCCTTAGGACCTGTAATGGGAAAGGAACCAGAGTACATCTCGGAATAACTAGGTAAAAACTGAAATATTGGGGATTTACTCTGAAGCTCAAAGCACAGATGGAGCTCAAGCTTCATTACAATCAGGTGTAATGGATTGCTCGTCATTTTCTTTTATGGGGTGTTGCTGCACTGACTTTTTAACCAGAAAGAATTAAACTGCTGTGGGTCTTTACGAAACAGAACTTTTTAAGTGTGCAGTCATATAATTTGCTTTTGTAATGTCAACGCAAAAGGGTCCATTTTCTATATTCTGCTTACCATCAGCCCAGCATTTGTAATCAAATGCCCACAGAAGCAGGGAAAATCAGCCCCGCCCCACGCTGCCTGCGGGAGCCACTCTTACCTCTGTGTGCACTTTGGCAGGTGTTCCAACTCCAGGTTTGCTGGCCGCTCTACCACCACTGAGGTCTCTGTTGAAGCTGGACTATTGCTGGGCTCCAGGGCTCTGGACTGATTGCCCCCAGGAGTCTGGGCCCCTGGCTGTTTCTCCCCTTCCTTTTCAGGTCCGTGAGCAGGATTCTGTAAGGAACACCCTTGGATCCTGGACACAAGAGTGACGCCCACGTCACACCCCTTCTTAACCTGATCCCTCTTTAAAGGGCATGGTGGCTCTCACTGGGACAAAGCCACGCAACCTCTGAAGAAATGGGCGTGCTGTTCTCGGGAAGGCCGGGGACCTTCAGAAAGAGCAAGGGTCTCGCAAGGGGCTTACCCTTTGGGACATCATCTTACTCCACCACTGTTTTAGGTTTAAAGCACAAGAGGCTGAAGACCCCTCTGAGCCGAGAGTGGTATCTTCAGATGCTGTTGAGAAGGGGCAGTAGAGAGCAGATAACCTTGAATCTGCCCTTGACCTGGGATTTTCTGGACTTCCTGTGTCTGTTGTTAGGTTTGTGACTCAAAGCCATCCCAGGCAGAACGGAAGGAAACGCTGTCCCTCCTGATTCACTGTCCGAACCCGTACCCGTAACAATGGGCAGCTGCTGAGTCAGTCCAGCTCTGAGCGGCTTCCTCTTTTTAGCCACCATTTATATCAGCTCAACTCACTGTCACAGAGTTAGAATTCCCTCTCGCTGCCCACTGTGTCCTGAGGCCCGGAGGAGACTACCCATGTTCCTCCAGTAGAGGTGGATTTGAACTCCCCATGAACTTGGCCAACAGAGATCACGTATGGTGATTTAGTTCTTCTTTTCAGTCAGTTCATTGCTGGAGTGCATCTTCACATCCAAGGTTTTCTTTTAATCCGGGGAGTGGCATCCACTTCCTAAATAACATGCCTCCGGAAACTCTATGAACTTTCATAGATGTTGACAGTTGTTGAGGGGCTTCAGGCCTTTTGTTCATAGGGTCGCTATGAGTCCTGCTTTACTCGAAGGCAATCAACAACACAACTCCCCCGTCCAGAGTCATGATCACCACCCCCATTTGAGGCATGAGGTGAACAACCCCAAGTGCTGTCCAGTGTCCTAGGCTGTTGGTGGATGAGTCGAGTCTCTAACGGCCCCTCTGGTGTCCAGGTGCCTCAATCAGGAGACAAGTATTCGCTGAGCCTTGAGCTGCACATGGTACAAGCTCACATTTGTGTGGAAGGTGACTGTTGTGCCTTTGAGCATGAGAAGCAGCCCGGAGGCCATAGAGAAGAGGACACCCCACGAGAACCACCAACCTTCCTGTGAGGTGGCCAGGTCGGGGTTTAAAAAAGGCCCCAGCAAATGGCTACTCTGCAGGTGGACAGCAGATCTGGAATTGTTCACAAAAGGAAAATCTGTTCACCAGACTGTGGGTGACCGCACCCTGTCATTTGTAAAGCCCAGCACAAGTGTTAGACTTCATTCCATCAGCGTGGTTACCATAGAGATTACAAGGAACCTGGATAAAGGTTATCCAGAGGCAACAGTCACAAGAGGCATTCTATCCCATACCTGCCTCTCTCCTGGTCCCAGGGCCCAAAGTGATGTCAGGGCCACAGGCACTGAGAGGAACAGGGAGCATGTCTAACCACATCTTTGGGGGCCCGGTTCCTAGAACGTGCTGGAGCTCAGCATCTCCTCTGGCACTGTGGGCCTGGATGGGAGACAGACTCCCACAATGTCACGTTGTCACACTTCATTCCACAGGATTTAGCAATGCAGAGAGCCACCTTGGGGGCCAGTGGCCCTCCCACCCCGAGAACACTATCCCTTCTTCCTCATCAGGGGAGAAAATGCCTGGGAAAGTTCCTCATCTTGTAACACGAAGCCCCGGCAGGGATAAGCGTGTTAGAGGGAGAGGGAGGGAGAGGAGTGAGTCAACACGAAACTCCGCTTCAGTTTTGGCCTGTAATTATCAACATCAGATCCTGGATACAATGGAGTCAAGATGAAAGGATGGCGAAACTTCATCTCACATACTTTGGGCACGTGATTAGGAGGGGAAGGACTTTGGAAAAGGACCTCATGTTTAGGACTGCGGAGGGTCAGTGAAAGAGAGGCAGAGCCTCCAGCAGGTGCATCCGCACAGGGACCGTAGGAACGGACTTGGGGCATCTATCAGGGATAATGAGGATTGGGCCGGATAGAGCAGCGGTCTGCTCTTCAGAGTTGCGAAGAGTCACAGAGGACTCGAAAGCACCTAACAACAACACGGCCAAACTGTGTGTCTTTGAAAACAACGAAAGTAGTTCAGGTCACATAATAGCTCTGTGAGTGCTACGTAGAAGTTTTTTAACCACCACCAACAGGTCAATACCAAATTTTAAGGAATAATTTTAAACAGACATTGTAACAAAAGCATGAATGGCCTAAATGTTTATTTTCTTGAATGCAAGACCTAAAATATTGTCAGAAGACATCAAATAGCACCCTAACCTCACTAAGTAAGTCTTAATCACTTTATTATTTGATCGTGAAGATCCTATGTTTGATCAGAGGACTTCCTGGAGACACGGTTAAGTCACATCGGAGTCCAAGGCTCACGACCAGCTCACACACGGCTTCACGCCTCAGTTGAGCCGAGAACAATGATCCATTGAGTGCCCGGGACAGGATGGCATCCTTCTCAGGTGCGAGGTCAGTGTGGACGGGGCAGCCTCAGCCCTGCCGCTAATCCTCTGCTGTGCCGTCCAGGATGTGTTTGAAGGAGAAGGGGGTGAACTTGTAGCCTGCCCCAGCATAGAACTTGTTCTGGAACTCCACCCTGTTGTTGGAAGGAGAGGGGGAGTAAGCCCAGCAACGAGGGGCTGGCAGGTCCCGGGGAAGAAGCAGGACGTTTGTGAAACATTGTCAGAGAGGCAGGAGAGGGGAGGTTGTGCAGACTGCTGGCTGTCCCCACAGTTGTGGCCTCAGGGCCTCTGTCAGCTCATCTCTAGCCTCCCTTCTTCCCGTCCCCTCTTGCCAGACAGGAGACCTTGGTCCTGGTTCCTGAGAGCAGTGAGTGGGGGGCTGACCCAGCAAAGAGGGGCCACCTGGATCACCAGTGACTGAGCCTCAGGAGAGTAATGTCACTATCACGGCCACTCAGGGAGGCCTTGGAGGATGAAGGCTCGTTGGAGCTTCCTGGCTGGAGAGCCAACATCTGCTGTTAGACTCGAAGGGTGAGGGTGTAACCTGAGGACACGGGCCATCTGGGGACAAGGACTTCCCCTTGTGTTCAAAGCTTTTTTTTTTGTTTCTTCTAGATCAAAGCTGGTGAGTCAGTTTGTGAATCATTTCACCAGATTATGGGACCTAAGAGAAGCTCCTGGTGCTGACGGGACTGGCCTGAGCAGATGGAGATTTGAGAGCAATGGCTGAACCATTCTAATGGGCCAGAAAGGGAAGTTGAGAATTCCCTCGATTGGTCGGCTCTCAAGGATACCTGGTGGCACAGTGGTTGAACACTTGTCTGGTAATGGGAGAGTCCACAGCTACCTTTCTCCTCTCACCAGATCCAAGCCCAGCCCACAATTTACAGTGTCCTCTCTCCCTCTAGCACAGCCCCCTTTCCAGACCTGAGTCCACTGTTTCCTCTCTCTGTGGCACAAGCCCCTCTACAGACTTGAGTCTACTGTTCCCTCTCCATGGTACAGCCCCCTCCCACAGTACAGGCCCCCCCATCAGCACAGCCCCCTCCCCCAGCACAGCCCCCTCACCAGTGAAGTCGCAGGGCGTGCAGGAAAGCAGAGAGGCCCTCCATGATGAGGAGGATGGCAACCGTCAGGACAGCAAAGATGGCAAAAATGATGAAGACCCCAATGAGTCCTCCCCAGCCTCGTTGGCGAAGACCGATGTTCATCACCATGGTCCAGAGAACCTCAGAGAGTTCTGCAAGAGGCAAGAGGCAATCTCAACCAGACCCCTCCTGTCAGTAGTAAAGCCCACCATCAGCCAAGACCTGCAGACCAGATAGAGCATGCTGAGGGGGGCACCAGGACCATGCGACCGGACCATGGAGTCACAGGGCGGGAGAAGAAGGGGCTGTGAGGAAGGCTGAGTGTGGAGACATGTGGTCCATGAGGTAGATGCCTCTGCAGGCTGGGAGTGAAAGACCCACATGTGATGTCCAGCCAAGTGGCCCCCACTCACGGGCGTGGGCCAGGCTCAGGGCCCAGAGGCGCAGGTAGGAAGCCGTGTTGGAAATGCAGCCGAGGCAGTACTCGATGGTGTGGATGGCCTGGTGCACAAAGACATCGCCAAAGTTGAACTGGAAGGGAGAATGTGAAAAAGTATGTACTTTCTACACCAAAAGCATCCCACAAACCACAGATGACTTTGTAGTCTAACTAGGAAGAAACCCAACTTAAAACCCACTACCACTGACTTGATTTCAAGTCAGTGACCATGGAGGGCTGGCTGGACTGCTCCAAGCTGTGCTTTTTACTCAGCCACCACCTGCATCTTTCTCAGAGTGACTGTTGAGTTCAAACAGGCAGCCTTGCCGTCTGCAGCCAAGTGTTTAACCACCGTGGCGCCGGGGTGCCTGATGGTCTAACCAGGAGGCACTGAACGTTCTTGTTGTTAGCTGCCATTGAGAGAGTTTCAGCTGATGGCAGCCCCACATGTACAGTGGAGACCTGAGCCCCGTGGGGCACAAGTCCATTTTCCTCAGGGAAACATCTTTGTTTGGAAATAAGAAAAAAGAAATCAACAGGTCAAAGCCACAAGAGGTGTCTCATGGTCACAGGGCCACTGGGGTCAAGGGTGGAGAGCATGGAGGAAGGGATAGGGTGTGGGGCAAAGACCTCACCATCAGCAAGGTAACCACCATGAGGAACAGAAGGAGCAGGAGGGCAGAGAGGGAGCGAGGCCAGGAAGTCAGGTGAGGAGGAGGAGGGCGGGAGAGGAGGCTGAGAGGAAGCATACTGTTGCATGGAAGGAGCCCACAAAAGGCAGCAGTCGCTGAAGGAGGGAGGGCAGGAGGAGGTGGACTAGGGGGAGACCAGGGGCTTGAGGGAGACCAGTGAAGGGGTGAGGTTCTACTGCACAAGTCGGGAAGGACAGGCTGGAAGACGTGGGCAAGAAGTCTGGGCGATCTTGCGTTTTGAAACACGGCGGCAAACTAACTCATGACTCAAAGCTCAGCTTCCAGGGGAGCTCTGGTGGCCTAGTGGCAAGGAGCTGCTACTACAATCAAAGAGGCGCACGGTTCGAATCCACCAAATGCTCTGCCGGGGAAGGAGGGACAATCTCCTCCTGTACCAGTCAGATCTGATTTGATGGTACACACACACACACACACACACACACACACACACACACACAAATAATAGAGAAAAAAAAAAAAAAAAAAAAAAAGCTCAGCTTCCCTGACTGAGACCAGAAAGCCTAGATGGTACCCAGCTCCCACCGCTGACCGCTGTGGAAGAGAGCAGCTCCCAAAGTCACAGACAAACCAGGGGCAAAGTGTGGAACAAAAGTAAACAACATAAGCAAGACCAAGCTTACTGGTCGGAGCCTCTGAGACCATGGCCCTGAGCCGTCTTTCAGTCTGGACCTGAACTCAGTCCTGAGGCTCAATTTTCATCAAACGATAGACAGGACTATCAGGTAAGGGGACATGGAAGAATCGTGACCTCTGAGCTGTGGTGCTGGAGAAGAGGACTGAGCAGGTCGTGGACTGCCGAGAGAGCAAACAGGGCTGTCCCAGAGAGGCTGAGACCAGCTTGCTCCTTGCAGGTTAGGATTTTGAAGCTCCGTCTCACGTACTGTGGGCACATGGCCAGAAAGGACCAGTTCTTGGAGAAGGACCTCATGCCTGAAAGGGTAGATGGTCAGCGCAAGAGGGGAAGACTACGGATGAGATAGATGGTAACCATGGTAACGGGATCAGATGTGTCAGGGACGGTGTGGCTGGCTCAGGATAGGGCAGGGCTCAGAGCTGTTGTTCACAGTTGTAGTCGGCTCAATGACACATAACAGCAACAACAACACACAGCAAGCAGAAACAATGGAGAGATAGGAAGTTCTTGGAACTTTCCACCTCTGACATGAATAGGAAACAGAAAAGACAGGGGAAGTGGTACGAGTGAGGTTAAGTGGTGGGAGTTGAAGACACTGGCAGAAAACAAAATGTGTTAGAGCTGTGTGGAATGGAAAATGGATCTAAACGAATCCACCCTCCATCCTGGGATTTTAACCGGAGTGCGCCCCTATTCTGGAATAAGTACTGATGCACCCTGATGGCTGGAGGGACACTCCCAGGACCTCCACCTGTGCCGCTAATTACGGGAAGCATTTATTCACTTGAACTAGAAGTAGATGTTCACCCTGCACCCATCCACACAGCAGCTCTAGGCCAGATGCCCCGTGCTGTGAGCTCTGCCGTCAAATCAGCCCCCACTCCACGCCAACACGACACACAACAGGTCCAAACGTTGCCAAGCCCGAGTCTGCCTGTGATCTGGTGAGGACTGACTGAACTGTGTGACCACAGGCTTTCACTAGCTGGTGTTTGGAAGTAGATAACCAGGCCTTTCTTCCTAGCCCATCTTAGTCTGGAAGATCTCCAGAAACTTGTTCAGCATCATAGCAACACACAAACCTCCGCTGACAGATGGGTGGTGTCTGTATATGAGGTGCCCTGGCTGGGAATTGAACCCGAGTCTCCAGCATGGAAGATGAGGCTTCCACAACAGAGCTACCATCACCCACCACATTCTCCACAGAGGGTGACGGTGAGCTGCTGTTTTGACCTGAAGGGATGCACCCTTTTCCCAGATCCTCCTCCACCTCTGATGTCCAGCAATTCCAGGACTGCTGTCCTACGGGAGTCTCCAGACCACCCCTCTGCAGCGCCCAGGCCCGTGAGTCAGCCCCACCTTCTGTCTGTCCAATGTCACTCTTGACTACATTCCAATTCTAAAATTTGGCCACAGTAGGACATCTTTCTTGGGTTTCAAGCCCCAAATACCTTCTCGTCGTGGTCCTCCTGGGCTCCGTGGTCACCAGCAGGAGCCTTCGGACCAGAACTGGCAGCGTGGCTGGAGCTGTGTCCGTCGTTCCTTTCAGGACAGTCTCCTGGGAGCATGGAAGCCTGCAGCTGTCACAGAGCAGAAGCAAAGCGAACACTAAGAGGGTTCGAACAGCTGAGCTTCTGGCTGCCAGCTGAGTGCTTAACCACTGCGCCACCTCAGAAGGGGAAGCTGCCCAGATCCTGTCTGATTTAGACAGACTTGTAAGCTTTTTTCTCTCCTGGGATAAATTGGAGGCTCGAGAAGAGTTTTAACAAGACCTGAAACTGATTTGTGGCCATAGTGAAAAATCAAAACAAAATAAGAAGGTGCAATGCTGAATTTTGCACACAGACCATGACATGGCGCAGCAAAATCACCCAGCCTTGGAGCCCAGACGCAAAGCAACTGTCACTATTAAAAATGAAGAGTAAAGCTTTTACGCTTATTTCCAGCCAACAGAATTATTTCAGCTCCTCGACAGCCATTGTCACTGTGTGCCAACAGGCTGGGTCTGCCTCACAGTGACCTCAGGAGGAAGGTGGCCCTCTGTGCACACAGGGTTTGTGGGAGAAGACAGGCAAGTCTTTTCTCTGTAGGAGTTGCTGTTGGGTTTGAACTACTGACCTTTGGCTATCAGCCTTGCATTGACTACTGCCTCCTATGATCCCCTCCCTCTGACCCCCTCCTCTGACCCCTCTCTCTGACCCCCTCCTCCTCTGACCCCCTTCCCTGCCCCATCTTTTTGCCCCCCAGCCCTCCTCCCTCTGATGCCTTCCTCCTTTGCTCCCTCCTCTAACCCCCCTCTGCCCAGTGGGCAGAGCTTGGCTCCTCACCTGGGTTTTGCGATGCCGTGCTCTCAGGATGAAGGGCTTGATGAGAAGCATCCAAGGCACAGCCACCAGCGCCATGACCACCAGGAAGCTCTGCACTTCCCGCTGTGAGACGCAGACAGGAGAGCCAGTGAGCGATCCACGAGAACCATCCACACAGCTCACCGCAGAGTGTCCAAGGGAACTCTTCACCTTCACACCTGGGACATCCCATCAGGCCCACAAAGCCCAGTGTCCAGGACAAGGGGACACGCTCGCTCACTCTCCAGGCCCTGTTCTCTAACCAGCAAGCCTTGTTACGGGGCCACGTCTCCTGCAGTAGGTCCTTTGAACTAGAACCCACAAGGCACATTGCAAAAGTGACTTTGTTTCTCTCTCATTCCTGGTCAAGTTCTCTGGTCCCGTGTGTCCCCTCACCTCATTCCCTACCTTCATGACAACAAACGTTGCTCTCCAGGGATTCAAAGTCCTTGCGATTTGAAGTCACAAAGCCTCCTTCAGCAATCTTGGGTCTCATCTGGGGATAATTCTGTCCCACTCTGATTCTCTCTTAAAAGGCACCCCCATCTCGGCCTGAGTTCTGCAGGTGCCTGCCCTGCCAGGTTTGGGGGCTCCACTCTGAGCGGGTATCTGCTCTGTTGGGGTCCCTCTCAGTTCTGATCCTGGTCTCTTTGGAAGAGGACAGGCTTTCAAGTCCCTGCAGAAACCCAGACAGGACCATTCCTGACTCCTGCCATGCTCCTTCCTCTCCCATCCTCAGCCTCCTCTCGCCTGTCATGTGTTTCTCATCATGCCACTAGCCAAACGAGCCCTCGTGCCACGATGTAAACGTTTACTGAGTCCATGAATTCTTCCACGGTGCCCTGGGTGCACTCGAACTTCCAACCTTGTGGTTAGCAGTCAGCACATAATACACGATGCCACCAAAAATAATAACTGAAAATCTCAGATAATAAAAAGAATGCTCTTTAACTCTGGAGCACTTCCACTCTCTGAAGTCCCTGGGTGGGGCAAGTGGTCCCTGTGCTTGGCCGCTAACAGAAAAGTTGCAAGTCCAAGTCCATTTAGAGGCACCTAGGAAGAAAGGCCTGGAGAACTGCTTCCCACACTTCAATCCCCAAAACCCCTCTGGAACCGAGGTCTGCTCTGATGCCGTGGGAACTGCCACAACCATTTACTTAGAGCATTAACAGCTTCGAGTCAAATTCAGGCCGTTATTGTTGTGTGCTGTAGTCGGAACTGACCATAGCTGGTCTCGCAGTGGATTATCAGAGACAGTAAATCACACAGGAGGAGACTGCCTGCCCCTTCCCTGAAGAGCAGCTTGTGGCTTCAAACCCACCCGTGTGTCGCCCACCCCGCAGCCCGCCCTCCACCCCTGGCACTCATGTGAGAAGACGCACATCAGTCTGAACTCAGAGCCCCGACTGGGACCTATGCTGGATCTGCAGCCCGCCTGGGCGTGCTCAGGAGCTGGGGCAGAACCAAGTGCAGAGAAGGGAGAGAAGCCCTGAGCCAGGTGCACATCCAGCCCTGCCGGAGGACGGTACCTGGTGTGCGTACAGGGACTTGTTGGAAGGGTCATCATAGTTGAACAGGAACATGTTAATGAAGTGGATGAGGATGCTGGGGGCACTCTGGGATGCATGGACGTCAAAGTGGCACCACTTGAAGATGATCATGAAGACCAGGTATCCAAAGAGACACAGAATGAAGATCATCTCGGGGATGAACTGCACAGCGATGCTGAGCGTGTTCCTGAAGTATCTGCGGGGAGGAACACACGGACACGTCACAGGTTACCGGTCAAGCTCTGTCACAGTCATGTGGAGCACGCTCCTGAAGTATCTGTGTGACACACACACAGAGACAGGTCACTAATCAAGTGCTGTCCGTTTGACACTGACCCACGGCAGTGCCCCACTCATCAGGATAAAACGGGGTTGGCCCATTTTTCAGGGGCTCATTTTTCCTGAGTAGTTTGCCAGGCCTTTCTTCTGAGTGGCCTCTGTGTGCACTCAAAGCACCTCCACTCCATGCCTCAGCGTGTCCAGCCATTTGCATGTCCTTTGAGGGGGACTCTGAGGGAAAATGCCAGAAGCAAACCTGCTCCGCTGTAGTTCTGAGCCCTAGAACCTCTGCAGCTCTCAGAACCCCCTGAGGGTTCCCGGCTGCCCCGCTTACCGAGGCAGACCGCCACACCGCACCCCCCAAAGAGTGGACTGCATCACTGACCTTTTAGTTAGCTACCAAATGCCTCAGCCACGGCACCACCAGAGTTCCTTCCAGCCCACAAAACCCAAAATCAAATCATCGAGTCGGTTCTGGCTTGCACCAACCCTGTGTTGAGTTTCCGAGGCTGTAAATCTTAACAGGAGGAGACTGCAGGCCTGTCTCCCTCAGAGCAGCTGCTGGGTTTACACCACTGGAGACACATGGCCTCTGGGCTGGCAGTACTGTGCACTGTGACACAGTCAAGGTGCCTGCGAGTGTGTGCATGGGAAGCTGTTCCCACACACACACACACACACACACACACACAGCTGGCACAGTACAGACCCTGCCGCAGACCACCACAAGGAAGCAGGCCCCAACAGCAAGAGAGTCACTCCAGCAGTTTGAATTTCTAGCTCTGATGGCCTCGTGGGCATGGGGTGGCACTGCCAACCCAAAGGTTAAATGTTCAAATCCAACAGCTGCTCCTCAGGAGAAAGATGGGCAATCTCCTCCTCTGCAGTTGGCAGCTTCTGAACACCCACTACGGGGTCAGCAGGGAGTCAGTTCTAACTCAATGGCAACGAGAGAGAAGCCTGTAACAGCTGATTTTTACACTATGCTGTGGAAGGTCTGGTAGCCTAGTGAATAAGAGGTTTGCTACCACCCCAGAGGCTCGTGGGTCAAATCCACCAGCTGCTCCATGAGAGAAAGATGCTCATTTTCCTCTTGTGAAACTTATAGTCTCTGAAAACCTGATGGAGGATCAGCTACGAGTTGGTTCTGACTTGATGACGCGCAACAACCACATACTGCAGTCAGTTAAATGCACAACGACATTGTGGAAAAGGTTGAAATACTTTAAGTGGCAAAAATGTGACACAGACAGAGGGAATGAGCATATGCTGTGGAAAGCTGGTGCCTGTAGACGTGCTCAAAGCAGGCTTGGCACAAACCCTCAATTTGTAAAAGCTGCAGCTTCTGCAGAGCAGAGTGAGGTGTGCCTTCAGCACGAGGTTTCAGAAGGGGGTTGACAGAGGGAAGCAAGCACAGACATGAGCAAGCAGATGAGGAGGAGGGAGGGGCCACCACAGAAGTGACACCAAGAGGAGTTCAGATACAGGGCACCTTGGCCAGCGTCCACTCGGCTGCTGTCCCCTCATGGTGGATGCAGCACGGACCCTGCCCTTTCTGGCTAGAAGGACCCAATTAGGCAAATAGTTCTGGGTTGAGAGAGTGGCTTTGTCTTTGAGGGACATGGCTTAGAAGAAATGGAGTTGGTTTCTGCAGCCTGCCTGCTCTGGCCACACTGAGCCAGAGAGGTCCTTGTGTGGAGGGTCCCAGGTCCACATGGTGGTCCTGCATACCCTGGACACACTGAGCCAAAGAGGCCCTTGTGCCCAGGGTCCTAGGTCTGCATGGTGGCCCTGCCTGCCCTGGCCACACTGAGACAAGGGAGGTGCTGTGCATGGAGCCATTGTGCTGAGGGCCCCATGTACGCATGGTGGCCCACGATGTGAGCACATAGAAGGTGACCCGTGGCACTCACACATGGTTGAAGAGGCTGAGGACCACCCCGAACACCATCTGGACAATCCCCAGGATGACCGACATCTTCATCTTGTAGGAATTGAGGAATGTCAGCTTGTTTGCAGCGAAGTTCCAGACCTGCATGGGAGGCAGGGGGACACAGTGTGAACCTCGGCCACAGATGCAGCCCCGGTTCTCCGCAGCCCGAGCGCATCGTAGCTCAGCTCGCCTGGAGGAGGGGGTGCAGACGAGCAAGGACCTCACCCACAGGGCAGACCAACGACACCGGTGCCAGAGCCACCAGGGCCATGCCACACATCACATGACTTCTCACCAGAAAGATCCACGGAGCGCTCGCCCTGGGACAGCGTACCAGGTGGGCACAGGGGGTGACACCCAGCTGGTGGCCTCCCCTCTACACCCTCCTCTTCTGAGAGATCTCGGTACATCTGTGATCTCCACCCACCTCTATGAGGCTGCCCGCTGGCCCCTGGGCGCTCTCAGCCCACCTCACTCTGCCTGGCCCATGTGGGCGCAGAGGGGCTGCCACTGCCCATCAAAGCACAGGGACAACAGTCTCCTCCCCTCAGCTACTTCCTCCTGCAAGTGTCTGCTTCTGTCAGGGCCACTGTCCCCCAGGGACTCTCAGTGCCTGTCACCTGGTCTCCAACATACACACCCATGCATAAATCATACACACGTCACACAGAAACCACACACATTATACACGGAGACACACACAGCACACCCACCCCACAAAGAAATGCAGACACACAATTAGTACACATATACCACACCTCCACACACAAACCATGCAAACATACTGCACAGACAACATAGATACACATAACATACACACAGAAACACAGATATATACACTACACACAGATATATACACTACACACAGATACACCACAGAGAAATCACATACACCACATACACAGAAAGAGACATAGACACACACCACATACGCAGACATCACAAATGCAGACACACACACAAACTACACTCACACACAGACAGGCACATCACACACATATCCTCTGTACACATCACAGGAACACACAGACACACCACACACAAACCATACACTGCACAGAGGCACACCTATCACACATAGATACAGACACACCACGCACACGTTATACACACAGAAATAAACAGAAACACGTATCACACCCACAGATAAACCACACAGAAGTGCAGACACACACACTCCACGTACACCAGACAAAACACGGCACAGACACATGCACACCACACAGAAATACACATACACGCAGAAATACACAATACACACGTCTCTTACACAGACACCGCGCAGAAACATACACACAAGCCGTACACACATCACACACACAAACTCACACAGACAAACATACAGATACGGATACACCACAGACACATCAGATCACACAGAAATGCAGACACACACTGGCTGCACACACATACACACAGATACACCCTTTGTGTGCATTTTGTGATGTTCTCAAATCAAGTTACAACTGAGCGTGCTTCTATAACACTTTCTAGACTATAGAGTGTCTTTTGGGATTTTAAATACCTATGTTTAAGTCACCAGTACTGTGAAGTTACAGAATTTCTGGACTTAGTAGAAGAAACATGTGTATTCTGTTAAGCTCTCTCACCATTAACATCATTTGGAACTATGAATATACGTCATTAGAAGGTCATTGTAACCTTGGAAATAGATAATAAAAGTATGTAAATTACTTGGTAACAAGGATATAAATATGTCATCTATCGACTTCCTTAAGTTCTAATAAGTCAAATCTCTGTAAGTTGACCTTGAAACAGAAGGATGGCACTAAATAATGCCCGTCATTTTTAACTAATGAAATTTCTATAAATTCACCTTGGGACATAAGTAAGTCATACAGCCGTCCCCTTAGTTGGCAATAAAATGTACCAATTAAGGTTGAATATGACAGCACTGAACGCTTATCTGTAAGTAGTCATTTGGCATAGTGTGTTACATGTTTGATTGCTAACCACGAAGTCAGCAGTTCAAACCCACCAGCCTCATCATGGGAGAAAGAAGAGACTGCTTGCACATTAAAAAACAAATCTGCCGAGTCGGTTCTGACCCACAGCGACCCCCATAGGACAGAGCAGAGCTTCCCACATGGTCCCCACAGCTGTGAACCCTCCTGAGAGCAGACTGCCTTAACTGCCGTCCGAGAAGAAGTGGGGAGCTCTGAAGCGCTGACGTCACCGGTCACCTCCCCAGCTGTCAGAGCGGTCCTGACACAGCGAGCCGCTTGGACAGGCTAGAACTGCCCCAAAGGGTTTCCAAGGTTGTCACTCGCCTGCCATTTTCTTTTTCTTTTTTACTGGTTTGCATTCCAGATTCATTTGCACTGTGTATCATTCATGTACATTGCATTTCACACGTTCCTACGTTTCAAACGATCCCTCCTACACACTGTGTTTTATAAAATTAATCACCGCTGACCTCAGCCTGCCACACCCCATCCTTGCAGGTCCCCACTGGATCTTTCCCAATTCCTTCAGGCTCCTCCTCTGCTCACCAGATTCCGTCATCCCAGGCATTTTCTGCGGCCCCCGCTCCCTCTCCCCTTCCACCTTGGAAGTTTTATGCACATCTTACCGGTTATCCTTCTCTTTTTTGATCCTACCTGGTGTCTGTCCTTGTGAGACCGAGTTCATTGATGTAGCATATACTCAAGACTCTCCCATCGCACGTAATACTTTACAACATGGTTCTCTTTCTGCTGCAAGCATACTATTTCATCATATGAATGGACTGTAATTTCTCAATTCGTTCGTTTGTTGATGGACGAACGATTTGGGCTGTTTCCAACTTCTCGCTATTGTGAATAACACTGCTATAATATGGGTGCATACACCAAGGTTATAAATCTTCACCAGAGGATCCCACCGCATCTTTCTCCAATGAAGTGATTGGTGGGTTTGAACCTGTGACCTTCTAGTTTGCAGTCAAGCATTTAACTATTACACTAGCTGGGCTGCCACCAGCACTTTACCAGAACCCACTATGAAATGCCCCCACAACACATTGCCACGGGGTCCACTCCCCTCACGACCATCCTCCATGGGGTCCTGAGGTAGGGGCTGTAGGGGAGGCATGTCTGTCTGTCTCTTGCAAAGGAGCTAGTGGGCGCCAGCTGCTGCATTTCAGTTAGCAGCACACGGGTCACATGTCATGCCGCCAAGCTCCTCACGTTGTCCTTGCGAGGGTCCCAGTCCTCACTGTGACCTCGGGACAATAAGTTGAAGCCTTGCCAACCCTGAGCCATCCTCACTAGTGCTGAGCCCACTGTGGTCGTTATGATGCCCATCTCACTGAGCGTCTTCTGCTCCCTCCTCAACCGTGTCAAGATCAGGTTCGAGGCCTTGAACATTAATGGACGAAGACCAGATGAGCTGTTGGAGGATATTAAAAATATCATCCATGGAGAATGCTAAAGGTCATTGCAAAGACAGAGGAAGGAAGAAACAGTGGCAATTCAAGTCACAGAATGACAGAGTTGGCAAAAAAATAAAGAATACATCACGACTGATCAAGCACACCTGTCTCAGAAGCAGTACAGAGTGCTCCCTAGAAAGATGGGGGAGCAGTACAGAGTGCTCCCTAGAAAGA